TAAGGTTATTATGTTACAGAGTTAGTAACTGTTATGGTTTTAGTTGCAGAGCTTGTAGTAAATAACAGAAACATTAGTAACTAAAATATATTAGCAGTAGAGGTAATTTAAGTAGCAGAAAAATAATAGCTTCACTAATTTAGAAGAAAACTATTAATGACGCTTATGACAGAATAATTTAGTAAAAATATTTTAGTAGGATCGTGTTAATAATATTATTGGCATGTGTAAGTTGTGATATTGTTGTTATTAATTGTTGAAGTTGCAGGTAGTGGTGAATTAAGTTGAATTATTAAGTTATAGGTTTATGGTCGATGTTGAATTAAGTTGAATTATTAAGTTGTAGGCTTATGGCCAATGTTGAATTAAGTTGAATTATTAAGTTGCAGGCTTATGGTCAATGTTGAATTAAGTTGAATTATTAAGTTATAGACTTATGTCAATGTTGTTATTATGTTGTTGTTGTGTTGCATTTAATCATGTTGTCGCATACATCGCATATAAAGTTGGAGCCGATGCTCGTTAAGTTGGCCTGTATTGACAAAATATTAAATTGAAGCCTTATGCCTTGTTGTTTCCTCTATTAATTGGCAAGATTTCTAAGTTGGGAGTTCTGCTCCATTGGTACCACGTGCATGTGCATAGTAACAAGTTGCATTTCACGTTGCATATTGAGTTGTTGTGTTGATAAACTATTTAATTGTGTTTCGTTGATGTTCTGTTGTGATTGATGTTGTTCAAAGTTGTGATGAGGTGATTTTGCATAGACTAATTCTAATGTAATATTTATCATATATTCGATCATATAGTTCGATATCTCACCCCTTCTGTTTGAATGTTACCCTGATGTTGGTAACGTGCAGGTAATCCAGAGTGAAGGTGGTTTACCTTCTGTAGTTCGAGTCGAGGTCATTGCTCTGATACGTAACTCTCGGGGGGATGAACGTTTGCTGTTTTATTGTTCTTATTATTTCAGTTGATTGAACCTTAAGTTGTTGTTTGTTAAATACTTATTATTTGAAGTTGTTTAGTTGGACAAAGATGATACATTCTTTTAAGTTGAATATTTGATTCTGCTGCATAGTTATAAAAGTTGTTGATTTCAAAAGATTAATTTATGTTGTTGTTGGTTCATCCAAGTTTAATGTGTTATGTATCTGTAATGATTGCCAATGTTTTAAACTGAACGTGTAGCATCTCATTTATTTGTTGGAGATTTTGTAACTCTGATTTTAATATTATTCGTCGGGTAGAATGGGGTGTTACAATTTTTCACTATAAACTTGTGAGCTTTTATCGGTTATGCCCATGCACCTTAATATAATCTAACCTTTTGACTTTAAACATGCATATTATCAACCCAACGTATTCTAATAAAATGGTTTAGAGATTTATGGTTGATTTCTTTAACCAAGAACAAAGTTTTTTTACCAGCTATGCTTAATAAATCAATAACAAACATTTATGGTTGATCTCAAGAACCTACACTCAATCTCTTAAATATATCACACCCTTAAGACTATAAAGGACCAATACGACCACTTAAAAAAATGATATTCTCCTCACAAATAAGGTTTCACTCCAAAACACTAAGGTAACCAAGATTGAAGAAAGAAATTTTCTAGAGAGAGAAGGAGAGAGCTTTAAAGATATAAATTCCAAGCAAATATGAAAATGTTGGAAAGTGGCTTGATTTTAAAGGAGGAAGTCACCCTTTATATAGTAGTCGAAATAAATTAATAAGGAAATAATTCATGGGCATCATTAACTATTTAATCGATTGATCTATTTAATTAGTTTAAATGAATATGTCTCTTATGATTCTCAAAATGGCAGGTTGTGATATAGATCCGTTTCCAATTGTTTATGAGTTTTAGAAATGTCTTGGACGTAAGTTTGATCTTGTCTAATCAATTAGACTAAGGTCTTAATCGATTAAATTGGACAAAAAAAATTCTCTAGTCATTTTTAGAGTTCCTAAGTTATTTGGCACATCTTCCGGGACATTTTTAAATATTTTTCTTTTTAAAGGTCTATTACCGGCAAAACAAGATTCCACGTGGATATTTTGTTTATACATCTTGGTTGAATACAGACCATTTAAAGATAAAATATGTGATTAGAAGTTAAACCTGATAAAATATTTGGTTGGGATAGTGTGATCAGTTCCTTTTTAGATTGAAGATTAGCCAATATTAAAATCTTTCTAGGTTTAAGATTACCTCGATTAAAATCTCAGAAGTTATGATTTATCCTGTTAAAATATATTATGGTTTGAGATAAGCCTGGTTAAAATCTCAAAGATTATTTGGTTATCCTGTTAAACCAAAAGTATTGAGCTTATTTACTTTGGAACTTAAATACTAAGCGCTACAAGGTCTGTGTTCGTGTAAAGGAGATTAATCTCTTTAATCTGTAGTTGGGAAGGGAGAATGGCCACCTCACTCTCAGCAATTTATTGGAGAAAAGACGCAAAATCCCATATCCATCATCTTGTTATATTTGGTTGAAGACCAACCACCATTTCCTTGTATAATGGAGTTCGTGAGCCTTTTTTACTAAAAGCTCTCAAGTATTATTGGAAACTCTAAAGATCACGTCTTGGCGAGAGGAATAGGTACTTTAATTTTGACCGAATTTCTATAATTCTATGTGTCCTCCTTCTTCCCTTAACTTTTACTTTCTGCTATTCATTTTATGAGGCTTATTATTTAAAAATAATTTTAAAACTCTGATTTAAGTTAATTTCCAAAAAGAAAATCAAAACCACGTTTTTCTAAACTACATAATTCACTCCATCTTGTGTGTGAAATTCATTTTTGTTTTGATGATGACAACACTCTAAAGTAAGATATTCATCATAAGTGTTGATCAAGTCCATCTGATGTTAATGATGACAACACTATGATGTGAAGTCGTCATCTTGTGTGGTGATTAAGTTGTTGTGCGTGAAGTTCAAGATATTGAATCTCATCTATGCAATAATCAAGTTATGATGTTTAGAGATCAAGAGGCTAAATCCTATCTTTGAAGGACATCTTATAATGTCATGTGGCATTTGGTTGAGTTCGTGAAGATCTATGATCAAGCATTGTGTCTAACAATGGTGTCTATCATGAAGAGATATCTCAAGCCTCAAAAGGGAGAAGATTCAAGGTTTCAGTGAAATTCTAAAGATAATGTAGCATGAAACTTGAAGTTTCAGAGTTGTGAAAGAGAAGAAGTGAAAATGTTCACTGAATTTGGATCGAGTGATTTGTGTCTATAAAGGTATAAGACTAACTCTCGTTCTAATAAGTAAAATCACACACACTTTAGAATGAACAGAAATCCTATATTATTTTTATTAAACCAACTAAAAAATGTTTTTGTGTCTAACTAATAGGTTAGAGGCTCATTCTAATAAATTATAAGTTTGTTACATGGCATAATTGATTAGTTAATTAGGGTTAGTCAATTATTGGTTTAGTAACCCTCATAATTGATTATCAGGTCTCTTAATCAAGTAGTTGATGCGCCATTATAAACCATCAATTTTGTACTGCATAACCGATTATCTATGTGGCATAACCGATTATGAACTTTAAAGGTCAATGATTCCTTTTCTTTTTGAGCCAAATTTTGTCCTATAAATAGAGTGTGAAGAAGATGTTTATCCTCTACCAAATGTATTTTTGGTGAAGACAAAGTTTGATAAAGATTATCAAAGAAGAAAAAGCTTAAAAAGTCACATGATGGATGCTTCCCAATTTTGAAACTTAAATAAAGATGTTTGATCATAATTAAGATTGATGAAGACAATGGTGATCAAAGAAGAAATATAGATGAACAAGTGTTGAAATATGACGAAGCTAATCAAGCTAAGAATCAAGATCAATGATCATTAATTAAAGGTTTATTATATTTCATTTAGAAGGTCGTAGATATTCATCTTTAAAATCGAAGTAATAGGATCATCCACTTTCCTTAGCACCACCAATCATCTTCCCAGAGTTCAAATCGTGAAAGATACAATGAGTATGAACAAAACTAGTCTGGCAATGTTTCTCTTTAAATAACTTGTTGATTGATATCAGAGTACAAGAAAGATTTGGGACATGAAGGACATCTGATAGAGTTAGACTTTGAGACAACACAATTGAGCCTTTACTTGCAATGGATGAAAAAACCCATCTGCGACTTTTCTTATTATTCCCTCCACAAGGATATGAAGAAAAAATGTAGATTCACAGGTCATATCATCAGTATCACATGAATCTATTATCCAGGTATGGTCGGGACTGACACTGAAAAAAACTTTTTTAGGCTATAGAACACAAAGGAGTTGACTCAAGAAGTTTAAACTGTTTGCCGATTTGTTCTCAAGTGAATGGCAATTGAGTTGGGATGACTTCTGCCCCAATTTGCTTCTTTTCTCGAGTTAGAAAATTGTGAGTATTTCCATTAATCATGGAAAGTTTAACCGCAACGCCCTAACCTTAACGAGGGCTCTAATACCATGTTAGAAATATGGTTGGTGCTAACTCATTCTTACAAAATCGGCTCGTAGGGTGACAATTGCCCTTATTTATAAGCACATGTTCAAGTCATATATTGTCCGATATGAGATTCTTAACAAACCCTCTTACGCCCAAGACAGAACATCTGGAGCGTGAAAATAAATAATGAGTGACCTGATAGCGGAAACTGATTGCAGGTAGTCCAGCCGATCTTAAACGAGACTCTGATACCATATTAATGAATAGGGAATAATGTTATATTTAGGAATTAAGAATGAGTACTAAACTTGAAATATAACTTGAACCAAAGTTTTTATTCACTCATATTAGCACCAATATACGCAATTGTGCGTCATATGATAATCTATGTTAAGTTCAATATATACATTAACAACAGTTTAGAAATCTGATAGTTTCTTTAGTTATGCTTCACTACTAAAGGACTCATAACTTTGTGTCTGCCATCCGAGCACAACAAGTGACCAAACACAGATAGTTTCTTTAGTTATGCTTCACTACTAAAGGACTCATAACTTTGTGTCTGCCATCAGACCACAACAAGTGACCAAACACATAACCTGATGTTGGTTTGGTTACCTTAAAAATAACCTTGAATGTCTTCTTTTCACCAACTTCATTAAATTTTAATGATTTTGGCTTAACCAAAACAGAAATCCCATAAGGTTCCTTGACATGCACTTGATATGTACCTTGTGGCCCTACATTTGTAACTGTACGAGTAATAACTTGTACAGAGTGTTTGCTTAGATTAGGCACTGTTATTGAAGGATAGTTAAAATCTAACATGTTATAATACTTAGGACAAGTGAAGAGATTTTTAGAAAACATATTCATTTGTGTTTGGTTGTAACCATGAGAACATAGGAAGTTTATGTAATCAACAATGCTTAGATCATAGATAAGTCCAGGGTCCATAGCAAGTTCTGGTTGTATGTGTCCTGCACCATAACCAAATGGAGTTGCATCTTCCTTAGATTGATCTTTAATTTCTCTTTCACTGTTGTCGAGTATTGTTGCTGAAAGTGCATAAATAAATTTTGGCAAGTTAGGAAAATGATGGACTATTTTGACCGATGCTTACAATTTTGAGGACTCGAATTGAAAGGTCTTAAATGTAGGAATAAGAAAGTTGCTAGCATATTTACCTGTAGTCATGATTGCAGATTTATAGGCTGCAGGAGACCAATAGGGATAGATGGTTTTGAGAAGGGCAACAATGGCAGAAACATGAGGGCATGCTACAGAAGTCCCGGACCCTATATTATATGGAATCCGACGATTATCTGATGCAAGACCAGTTGGACAGTCCAATGTCCACACCTGGTGCACTGATATCGGGCTGAAAATCAAAACCAAAGTCATCTTAAGATTATTACCACATTAATTAACGAGTAATTGGATTGGATGTACGAATGAAAAAAAATTGGACCTTGAGGATTATCGGTTGGATGGGATTAGGTCCCCTTGATGAGAGTGAAGCTATTACTGGAGCTGGTTTTACTCCCAATTCAGTTTTTGCCTTACTCATGTAAGCCACGGGGTTTCTTCAATATATGCATAGATAGATAGATAGATAGATACATTAGTAGATAAGTTTGAATATATGAATAGATAGATAGATACGTTAATAGATAAGTTCGAATAAGCCAAAAGAAATTAGTGTAAGAGAGAGATAAATTACTTGGTGGCTTTGATGTAGGAATGAACAAATTCAGCATCTGTGTAATTGATATGTGAAGTTGGCAACAAATGCGCATATGCCATAATGTCATTACCGCGCCGCTTATCATTTCCCAAAACTAGTCCTATTGCACCACCCGAAACAGCTTCTTCCTCTGCATAAACTAATCCATTTATCTCTCTTAGGAGGCAGAACAAGATTTTTCCTTTAACCTTGTTTGGGTCAAGACTTCCAACCTTACACATTTCACTGCCATAAACCATAGGCATATATACAATAATGTAGAAAATACAAACATAACACAAATCTTAGGGGCAATGCTATAGATACTTACGCATCTTCCGTTGTTACATTAGCAACTCTGGCATCTATAGAACTGATCAAGGAGTAGAACTTCTCATATGGCAAACCGGTTGAAAGACTAGTTCCCTGCCAGAAAAGAAAGATGTTTATTTATGTACAAAATAAGATGCAACTTGAAGCGGATGTTTTAAAAAACGGGCCAGAAATTGAACCAGATACCTTCAAATCATAACTCAATTGGTCTAGCCATAGTTGAACCATTCGTGGTTAAAATGTGGTTCAATCCAGTTCACCAAGACTATAACACAGTGGAATAATACCAACCGGTGAACTGGTCATTTTTTCAGTTCAACCAGTTAAATCGGATGGTGTGGTAAACATTACGTAAACTTATTACACATGATAAACTGAAATGAAAGGGGGGAAAAACAAAAATGATACCATTATTATATGCTTCTTGTCACTAAGTTGAAGATGATTAACAAAGTTTCTATCTATTGTGCTAGCAGCAACACTAAACAACCAAGGTGCCAAATTAGTAACAGTTCCAAATTTTGGTCCTGAATTACCTCCACCAGCAACAACTATTACACCATTCTCAACTGCATGAAAAGCCCCTATAGAAATTCCATCTTCAAAATATTCTGTAGGACTACCTTTACCTAAAGAACATGAAATCACATCAACACCATCACTTATAGCATCCTCAAAAGCTTTCATGATATCTGCATCAGTGCATTCAATCTCAACTGTTCCAAGCCAACACACTTTGTAGGCTGCAACATGAGATCTTGGTGATCCACCTTTAGCAGTACCGTTGGCAAAGCCAAAAACATTAGCATCTGAAACAAAGTTTCCTCCTGCAATTGATAATGTTGGTGTTCCATGTCCTAATACGTCTCGTGATGTATAAAGGGATTGGTTTAGTCTTCCGAATTTTGATTCATAACCTTTGCTGTAGAACCTTGCTCCTATCAATTTCCTGTGTAATTTTGTTGAACATTTACATGTCGGTTTCACTATTAACAGTAAGAGTCTAGCTTTGTAACGCCAGATAACGAAGTTCAAACCTATTGCAGTGAAAATTGTCAAGTTGGCAGATTCCACGCCACCTTGATGGGACCGGGCCCATTCCATCATCACTAAAGCTTTGAGATTCAGGCCAAACACCTATTCAAGAACAAAACAAACAATTTCTTAGGAAAAGGACAAGAAGCAGCCTCCACTTTTGAAAATCTAACGTAGAAAATTGACTTTTGAGTGTGATGGCTATGATACATAACAAACTGACCTGTATCAATGTTTGCAATGATTGTACCTTCACCATATCTTGCCTTATCCCATATGGAATCTTTGGGAACCACTCCATAATTATTCTCTAGCCCAAGAAGAAATTCCCATGATCTTGTGGTTTGCAATTCATGCCCTTTGTTCTCAAACACAGACACTACATTTGGATGTCCTGATGTGCACAAATCAAAATTGAGCAAAAGAGATACGAAAATCTACATACGTATTTCTTTTTGGGTCTGTAGACAAAGTGATAATAATCACTGGAAACTCACACACACAACCGTGAGTATCAGGGCTCGAACCCTGGTGATGGCGTCTAACCTAACAATATATTAGGAGTTGGTAAATTTGATTAACTTACTTGCAATTTTGGTTGCTTCATCTACTTCAAGTACAGCAGCAAAAGCATTGATGTGTTTATTATATGAGTAAAACATTGCTTCCTTAGTTTTCTCATGGCTATGAAGGTGATAATAATTATTTTAATCTCTCTCATAACAAAAGTTTATTGAGTTCTATAAACCATATACATACCTTCCCAGGTGTGAGCCAAGTAAATTGTAATGTGAATTTGTTGCAAATTGAAGATCACTTGCTGAAGGATTTGGCCCATGAGAATGTGATCCTAAGTAGACAATATATGACTGCAACAAAAGAATTTTAGTTTTCAAACCATTGAAATATGCCTTCATAAACAAATTATTATATATATTAGAAAAAAAAGACTTGGAAAAGTTGAGCTTGCCTTTTTGATGGCATGAGAAGATTGTTGCAAGAAAGGCCAAAGAAGAATGAAAGAGATAAGGTGGAGAATAGAGAAACTTTGTTGGAACAGGGAGAGAAGAATAGAGAGAGAACTCAGAGATTGGGAAGAATGAGTAATTCTTTATTTTCCATTCTAACTAACTATTACAATCAGACTTGCTATTTAAAGCAATGTAACAAACTATTAGAAAACTAACTATAATTGGTTATCTAACAAACTAACCAATCAGTCCTTATTTCTTATTACAGTCATTGATCAATGTAGTTGAATTATTCTTTCAACACTCCCCTCTAATTCAAACTCCTTAGTGATACCACACTAAGCTCCTTCCTCATCTTGTCAAAACGATCAACCCTCAACGCTTTGGTAAATGCATCTGCAACCTGCTCTTCTGTTGAACAATACTCCAGCTCTAGCCTTCCCTTGTGTACTTGTTCCCTCAAGAAATGGAACCTCACCTCGATGTGCTTGCTCCTCCCATGGGACACAGGGTTCTTGGCTAAGCTTATAGCAGAAACATTATCAACAAACAGCTTCAAGGGCTTCTCCACTTCAATCTGCAAAGCTTTCAACAATTCATCTAACCAGAATGCTTGACAAGCTGCAGATGAACCAACAATGTATTCTGCCTCACAAGAACTCAATGCTATCACAGATTGTTTCTTTGAAGACCATGAAATAGGAGCTCTAAAGAACCTAAACACATACCCTGATGTGCTCTTTCTCTCATCCAGATCTCCTCCATAATCCGAATCTGAAAAACCTGTCAGCAATGCCTTTTGAGACTTAGCTTGATTTGGAAACAGTATTCCAAAATCATGAGTTCCTTGCAGGTATCTTAGTATCCTCTTAGCAGCTCCCATATGAGTTTGCTTGGGATCACTCATAAATCTACTCACAAGACCCACTGCATAACAAATATCAGGCCTGCTTGAACACAGAAACCTCAATGACCCTACAATCTGCTTGAACAATGTAGGATCTGCAGCTTCACCAACATCACTTCTTCTCATCTTGACATTTACCTCAGCAGGTGTATTCACTGGATTACAACCAGCCATATTGAACCTCTTAAGGATATCACTCACATACTTACTTTGATGCATAAGTAAACCATGTGATGTTCTAGTAAACTGCATTCCCATAAAATAGGTCAACTCACCTAGATCTGTCATCTCAAACTCTAAGCTCATAACCATCTTGAATGCTTCAATGTCTTTCACATTTGATCCTGTCACTAGAAGATCATCAACATAGAGGCAAATGATCATGATGTGCTCATCTCCTTGTTTCTTCACATAGACTCCATGCTCCACTGAACACTTAATGAATTTCAGCTGCTCCAAGAAGCTATCAATTCTCTTATTCCAAGCTCTTGGAGCCTGCTTGAGTCCATAAAGTGCTTTGTTAAGTTTGTAGACTTTGTACTCTTGGCCTTTGATCTCAAACCCTGGTGGCTGTGTTACATAAACTTCCTCATCCAATGGACCATTCAGGAATGCTGATTTTACATCCAGCTGATGTAAACTCCACTGCCTTGCATTAGCCATAGCAACAACCACTCTAATTGTCTCCATCCTAGCCACAGGAGCAAAAACTTCTGTATAATCCAGTCCATGCCTCTGCAAGAACCCTTTAGCAACTAACCTTGCTTTGTGTTTAGCTATTGATCCATCAGGATTCAACTTTAGCTTATACACCATTTAACTCCAATTGGAACTTTATTCTGAGGTAGAGTTACTAACTCCCAAGTATTGTTCCTCTCAATTGCCTTAAGCTCATCGACCATTGCCAATCTCCACTTTGATTGCTTCAAGGCTTCATTGAGATCAAGTGGCTCAGAATCTGCCATAAGTGCATAATGGATTAGTTCACCCTCCTCAGAAATGTCAGCATCACTTGCCATTTCAAATTCATTGAACTTGGCAGGTAGATTTCTTTGTCTTTGTCTTTGTCTTTGTATTGTAGGTAGCTGCTCCTCACTTTCTCCATCAGTGACTTGTTCTTCAAGCATCTCTGGTGCAATGTGAACCTTGTTAAGACTAGTTTGTTTCAACCTCCAGTCCCAGTGCTCATCTTCTACAACATGAACATCCCTGCTAAAACAAGATTGTCTTTTCACAGGATCAAACAATTTATATGCACCTGTTGGATGATACCCTATAAGAATCATTGGTTCACTTTTGCTTTCGAGCTTCCTCCTCTTCTGATCAGGTACATGCTTGAAGCATAAAGACCCAAAAATCCTCAAATGGCTAACAAAGGGCTTCTTTCCTGTCCACACCTCAAGTGGTACTTGCTTCTTCAATCTCTTTGTAGGGCATCTGTTTAGAATATAACAAGCTGTGGAAACTGCTTCCCCCCAAAACTCTTGTGGCAAGTGCTTCTCCCTCAGCATGCTTCTTGTCATGTTAAGTAGAGTTCTATTTCTCCTCTCAGCCAAGCCATTGTGCTGAGGAGTATAGGGTGCAGTCTTCTCATGTTGAATACCACTTTGTGAACAAAATTCTTCAAATTCATGTGAAGTATACTCTCCACCACCATCAGTCCTAAACACCTTCAGAAGTTTACCACTTTGTCTCTCAGCTTCTGCCTTGAATCTCTTGAACACACCAAGTGCTTCATTCTTGGCTTTAATGAGAAATAGCCATAACATTCTGCTGAATTCATCCACAAAAGTGATGAAGTATCTATTTCCACCATGTGAATTAACTTTAAAGGGTCCACAAATGTCAGAGTGAACAACCCCAAGAAGATCATTAGCTCTCATGGCTAACTCAGCAGTGAAAGATTTCCTTGTCTGCTTCCCTGTAAAGCAGGTCTCACAAATCTTCTCTGGGATCGTTGTTGTCGGTAATCCCAAGACCATACCATCACTTCCCAGCTGGTGTAAACTTCTGAAATTCAAGTGACAAAATCTAGCATGCCACAACCAATCTGACTCCCTGCCCTGTAAGGATCCTGAGGCTTTCAAGCAATGAACCTCAGATGCTTTAATGTTAACCTTGAAGGTTCTATTTTCTGAAAGTGGAGCCTTCAAGATCAATCTTCCTTTAGCATCAAACAGATCAAAAGAATTCTTCTCCATAATGACCTTGAACCCTTTCTGAATCAGCTGGCCAATACTCAACAGATTGCAAGTCATTCCAGGCACATACAACACATCTTCTATTATTGCAGTTCTACCATCCTTTCTATGAATTTCAACACTTCCAATCCCTTCTATGTCAAGTGTTCTGTCATCAGCAAACTTAACCGTGCTTCTTCTAGTTTCATCTAAGTCAATTAGCCATTCTCTATGACTAGTCATGTGATTAGAACAACCCGTATCTAAATACCACAAGTTTGATTTAGAATTTACAGAAACAGAAGAATCTTTAGAGCTGGTGGTTACCATGAGAAGCAGGGGTTCTTGATCTGAATCCTCATGAGTTGCATTGGCCTCATTGTCACCCCTTCTCTGTTCACTTCTACCATTTGGACATTCTCGTGCAAAATGACCAATCTTCCTGCAATTGTAGCATTCAGCTTTCTTCTTGTCCACCCTTGATTCTTGCCAGAATTCCTCTCATGACCACCACGTTGCTGTGAAGAACCACTTTTGTGATCATCATCTCTTGAAGAAGACCAAGATTCCCCTTTGGCCTTGCCTTTGCTTTTCCATTTGCCTTTGCGTTTCTCATCATACGCCTTCTTCGATGTCTGAGCCTTCAACGCTTGATCTTGGTGATTCCTCTCAGCCACTCGATCTTGAAGACGTAATTCATGAGCCTCCAACGAACTTTGCAGTTCCTCAAGCTTCATCTCCTCCAAATCTTCATATTGCTTGCGTAAAGATTGCAAGCGAACCTTCTTCACCTTCTCCCCTCCGGCGTGACATCGTTGAATGATATTCCAAGCTTCCTTTGCACTGGTTGCCTTGGAGATCTTCTCAAAATGCACATCATCCACGCATTGATGAAGAAGAAACATCGCCTTGCAGTCCTTCTTCTTCGCCTCCTTGTTCGCTGCTTTCTGTGCATCACTAGCTCCGGTTGCCAACGATGGAATCCCAGATTCCACCACTTCTTGGATGTCCTGAAACCTCGTCTCCTTCAATTTTTCCTTCGAAACTCTTGCTCTAGATACCAGTTTGTATTACAATCAGACTTGCTATTTAAAGCAATGTAACATACTATTAGAAAACTAACTATAATTGATTATCTAACAAACTAACCAATCAGTCCTTATTTCTTATTACAGTCATTGATCAATGTAGCACTTATATATGAGAGATACACCACTTGTCCATCTAAAATCTTAAGGTGATAGATGAGTGAGTTCTCTCATATATAAGTGCTCAATCTTCCCTTTTATAATCAATGTAGAACTTCTTCTTCACACTTGATTCTCAACAAACTCATTATGATACACAGTGATGTGTGAAGACTAAACTCATTATATTGTTCACTTGGCTTTGAATTTTCATAGCTTCGTTTTCAGTTTGAAAGCAACTCGTATGACATAATCAAGCAACCTTAACTGGAACAGAACTGTGATTGATTTGAGATACTAAATTGCTACTAAATTTACTTTTGCATCCTTTTCAATTGCTCTAAATATGTGACACATATTGCTTTACGAGGATAATTTTAGAAATTTATCATAATTTTTTTTTTATATGAATAAGTTGACTCGTTCATCTTATTTTACAAATTACCACTTTTTTTACGAAAAAGTTAGATATGGGATAAATGTTTATCATTAAATTTTCATTAAAGATTTGACTTTTTTTAATTTAAATTTAGCATAAATATAATACATTTTTATTGCGATTTTTATCAATGAGTCATTAATGAGTTAATTGGTTAAATTTAAATCTTTCGATCTTTTAAATAAAAAAATTGTTAGATTATATTAATTACAAAAGTCATATACGGAAAAGTATAATTTATAAATGAATATTTTTTAATAATATTTTTTATATAAAAGTGAATAATTAAATTTTAAAAAAAAATTAGACTTTTTTGTTTATATTACGAAGTTTGAAATTGAATAACTATATAGTGACGTTCAGATGTATAATTCATTTAGGAGAATTTGATTAAAAAGTTTTTATATCTTATAAAAAACGAAAGTCCATATATCATATAAAATATGACTTAGCGTAAAAACCATACATGAGAAGAAAAAAACCATCACTAAAAAATTACTTAAATTATTGAATTTTTTTTTTCAATAATTAAGTTTTGAATTTTTTTTATTTTTATAAATAACTATATTTCGGAGAAAATTACGCAAATAACTATGCTTCAGAAAATCTCACAAAGGAGGAGTCATCTCAATTGGCGCATACACTTTAATTTAAAGGGGAGGCGTCATCTCACTTGACGCCTAGCTGTTAAAAGTGTGCCCTAAATCAAGTGAGATGATGTCTTAGTGTAAAGGGGGATCAATTTTTTCGTTCATTTTCAAATGTGGGACATTACGTAAACGATAGGATCACGAAAATTCGAATTTTTATTTACACAAAATGATTACATAAAAAATTACAAAATAATTAGTGGTCCCCCGGAACCCGGTAACGACCCGCGGTTCTGCATCCGCGTCCTCGTCTGTCCCGTGATGGGTTTCGCTGTGTTTCCTGTTGCGGTAGGATCGATGACCCAGCGAAGTCAATGCATTCCGGATTCATGAAATCAGTCAGATCTCCATATCTAGAAGATCCGCTTTGGTACAGCCGATTACCCATACCCTCAAAGTTTGGTCGTCTTGGTGGTGGATGGGGTTCCATGGTTGGCCTATAGCACTGGTCGTCTGAGTAAGGGGGTAGAAAGGAAATGAATCATGGGGTGTTTGGTACTGGGAATGTTGGGTGCTTTGGTGATGTGGTGGTTGATGGTAAGTTGGGTCGGTTGGGTCATATTCTTCAGAAAATCCAAGATCATGGCTAAGGTTAGATGTTGAGGGGCCCATATTGGGATATGGAGAAGACTGGAATTGTGTGTGGGGCATGCGGGTGTATTAGTATTGTGATTGGAATTGTGGTTGGGTGTGGGGCATATAAGGATTTTGGTATTGAGGTGGTGATTGTGGTTGGTTGTGGGGCATGCGAGTGTATTCGTATTGTGGTGGTGATTGTGGTTGGGTGGTTGTGGATCTGTTTCGTCGAGGAGGTTGGTCGGAGGTTGATGTGTGTAGTGTTTATTGTTGGGGAAATGAGGGTTGTGCCCATTGTGTTTGTGGGTCAACCAAATACCTTGAATGAGACACGTGCATTTCTGGGTTACTAACCGATCTGTACCAAGCTAAATATTGACCCGTGTGTCGCATATTACCATGGTTGAGGAAAACTAGGAATTGCAAGACATGTCGGTGACGCCTCTGCCACATCTTACACCATTTTGGAGCAAAATATTTCCAATTGGTAAGACCATATTGGGCGTCGACCCTTTTGAGATGCCACGGGGACAAACAAGTTGGATCGCAGGGTATCTCTTGATGCGTTCCAAACTGCATCTTGACACGGTCGTTGTGGTGTATCTCCATAATATTGAACCGCATGATTGTAGTCTTTATGCTCCAAATTGCTGCATCCTCGGAGTTTGATTCATGGTCCAAACCCAAATATGATCTCCAGATAAACTGTGAATAAAATTAAATCAGCTTAATGAAAACATAATAAATAAATAATTTAAAAGTAGAAAAGTTCAAAGGTATGACGTACATCATCCGGGCCAAGGTGATCCAATAAATTGCGATATAGAGCGAATTGAATCTTGGATTCTTGCCGTAATCCATACCCGTCACGCAGTACCTAAAGGAATTGTAAAATAGTTTATTTTTATCATATATTTAGTGAACAGATGAATAATAAATTATATTGGTTATTGACTTACTTTGTTGCGTATGGGAAAACGAATGTGTTGTTGTTAACGGGGTTTAGGGACTCCATTCTCCACCAACCCCATGCTTGAAGTAAGAAAGTGCATCCATAAAAAGTACATTTTTACTTGGTTGCATTTTTACACGAAGAATTGTATAGATTGGCTAAAACAGCAGAACCTCAACTATACTTTCTAGTTTTTTCAAAGTTTCTAAGTAAATTTAAATACATGAAATTTACACTATTCCCCGTACTTTCGGGAAATAAAAAGGATGCAAAAAGTATCATTATATAATTTCTAGCTTTTATTACTTTAGCTAGCTCGGAGGAATTTTCGTTCAACTCCAGAGTCGCATAATGATTTTTGAGTTCAGTAAGTAGTATGCCTTGGTCTCTAGCACCACCACCTTCAAACATATCCTTGCCCAACAATTCCTCGCACAGAGAATGGGATGTTGAACCGACCCGTTAACTGTCTTACCATCTACAGGGAGACTTAATAACATATACATGTCCTCCAGTGTGGTGGTACATTCACCTATTGGTAGATGAAATATGTGTGTCTCAGGTCTCCACCTTTCCAACATTGCAAGTATGCACTTTGAATCAATCGTGCAATTGGATATCTTTATAACATTTCTGAAACCTGCATATTCGAGATATGGCACGATCAACGGGTCGGGAGCAATGTAGTTGTGTGACCGAATTCTGAATCTTTTAGTATCCTAAATTCAAAATGTAAGAATTGTAAGAGCCCATAAGATGTATAAATCATTAATAATATTATTAAAAATTTATAAGTATACAAGAAAATTTGAGAATTTATAAAACCTTACAAACGATGTAATGTTGTCCCTTGTGCCTCTGTGAGAATCGCCCATTGTGAGAAGAGTCATAGTTGAAATTGTATGAAATGATGAAATAGTTTGTAGAAGAGAGTGAGATGATTGTTGATGTAAACCAAGTATGTGAGGCTCTGTATTTATAGGCAAAATTTTATCAGAGTGAATAAATGAGGTGGGTGGTGGGTGCATGCATGCATGATAAGTGTCACTCTTGCAGTGTAGGTGCGGGCTAGATAGCAGCCTTGGGGAAGGCATCTCTGCATACATATAATACGATTGAACATGTAGGGAGGCGCCATTTGACTTGGCTAATGCGTACAAAATTGAAAGGTTTCTCCATCCTAGTTAGCGAATTATAGGTGACATGGGTTGCAGTGTAGGTGCAGGCTAGTTGACAGCCTTGCAGAAGGAATATATGCATGCATGTAATACGATTGGACATGTAGAGATGCGTCATTTGACTTGGCGAATACATATAAAATTGAAAGGTTTCGCCATCCCAGTTGGCGAATTAGAGGTGGCATGGGTTGTAGTGTAGGTGCAGGCTAGTTGACAATCTTGGGGAAGGAATCTCTGCATGCATGTAATATAATTGGACATGTAGGGAGGTGCCATTTGACTTGGCGAATGAGTAAAAATTGAAAGGTGTCGCCATCCCAGTTGGAGAATTAGATCTGGCATGGGTTGTCGTGTAGGTGCAGGCTAGTTGACATCCTTGGGGAAGGAATCTCTGCATGCATGTAATAAATACAATTGGACATGTAGAGGGGCACCATTTAACTTGGCGAATGAGTACGAAATTGAAAGGTGTCGCCATCTTAGTTGGCGAATTAGAGGTGGCATGGGTTGCAGTGTAGGTGCAGGCTAGTTGACAGCCTTGGGGAAGGAATCTTTGCATGCATGTAATACGATTGGACATGTACGGAGGCGCCATTTGACTTGGCGAATGAGTACAAAATTGAAAGGTGTCGCCATCCCAGTTGGGGAATTAGAGATAACATGGGTTGCAGTGTAGGTGCAGGCTAGTTGCCATCCTTGGGGAAGAAATCTCTGCATGCATGTAATACGATTGGATATCCCAGTTGGCGAATTAG